TTTATAACTCGAGATTTACTTAACCAAAAAACATTTTATCTATGTGTTTTGAAAAGTTCTCAAAATAAGCTACGAATATGCAACAAAAAATGGAGGGTTCCATTTTACCATTTAATTTAGTGACCTTGTCCTGACCTTAACGACGCCACTCAGGGTCAAACCAATGTTATCATCTTAAGTCCCCCTCGAAACCCAACTTTTGTCTGAAACATATTTCTCTCAAACCTTGCGATTTCCAAATATTTGACTGTCAAATATAAAATGGGACACTCTGTATATTTGTATGTTAGGTTATTTATTATATCTTTTTGTTTTAAATAAAGATACTTATGAAAACGGACTTAAAAATTAGTCACTGCGCAAGATACATCTAATATAGAGAATGAAAGTTTATCTGATGAGCTGAGAGAAAGAAAAAAATAAAAACAACGCATAAATGCAAAAAGACACTTTTCATCCTCTTCAGACGAAAAGAATAAAGAAAATCGACAGACATTTAAAAAAAAACCAATTACCTTCTCTTTCACAATTACAAGATTTTATATTAATTGTACCGATAGAAATTATGGAAAATATTGAGACATTATGTGAAGGAACTCCTGCTAATAAATCAAATAATATAAATAACAACGGTGAGAAATTATGAACTGTGCTATTTACTATTCGTAAATCATCTGTACTAACATCTATACTCTCTTCCTTTTTCTTTTGTATATAGATGTTTACAAATAATGTGTTCTAAGCGGTTTCAGATATTGTGCTGAAACAGTTATCATTGATGAAGAAAATAACATTTCTCATATATAGTATATGTCTTGTTAATCTTAATACTTGTTCGTATGTATTTGTAAAAGCAATGTAGACAAATGTATTTTATGTACAATATTTCAAAGCTCATGTACATATATTCACATATAAATAGTAAATACGTGCAATACTACAATCATAAAATAATTTATTCAATATAAAATATATCTTGTTTTCAGAGTTTCTGAAGCAACTTTTATTTAAAATGAATAAAGTTATATAAATTGGACATAATGCAAAATAAAATTAATTTGCTCGAAAAGAAAATGTCACAACCAATAAATATAAACGAAGATTTGAATATTTAATTATCAATATTAACACAAGAGGATTTACAATTATTTGAAGAGTAGTTGGACGAAGAAGGATTTAAAAACCAAGTGGTACAATATTTAATGTCTGCTACTTTTTGTACTATTATTAGTATACCCAAATACATAGTAATTTGACAGCAATTTTACTATATAGTGTAAAACTATACAGTAAAATAACTATACAGTGTACTATACAGTGTACAGTATACTATACAGTATACTATATAGTGTACGTTTTACTATACAGTGTAAAATAACATAGTGCATAAGCGATTAGAATCTTAAATATGTGACCTACACGTTTATATTTATTGGTTGTGACATTTTCTCTTTGAGCAAATTAATTTTATTTTGCATTATGTCCAATTTATATAACTTTATTCATTTTAAATAAAAGTTGCTTCTGAAACTCTGAAAACAAGATATTTTATATTGAATAAATTATTTTATGATTGTAGTATTGCACGTATTTACTATTTATATGTGAATATATGTACATGAGCTTTGAAATATTGTACATAAAATACATTTGTCTACATTGTCTACAAATTGTCTACATTTTACAAATACGTACGAACAAGTATTAAGATTAACAAGTCGTACATATAACATGTAATGGCAAAGTATATATACAATATGTTTTCTTATACTAATGCAGCAATAAATTTGCTAAAAATTATTAATGTAATAAATATCAGTTAAATTCTGATAAATTCTTACGTATATTTATTTCATCATTATATGTTGTACTATGACTGATGTGTTTGGCCTTTTCATAAGAACGTAACTTGTTGAATTTATGTTTAGTCTATCTGAGTATAAATATTCTGTATAATATTTTATTTAAAGCTGAATTTATTTTATAAAAATTATTTTTATGCTCATAATTTATATCTTTATTTGATACAAAGTCTGTATTATTACTTATATTACTTAAACATTTTATCTTTCTAGTTTAATATTTTTAAATTGGTAGGTGGAAGCAATCCATGTAATGATACGCAACATTCTAAAAAAAGTACTAACAAATACTTTAGTTCAACATTTCAGTTGGGCTGATAAAAAAGCTAAACGCAACTTTAAAGACTTAAACCTTGCAAACGTAATTATACGTACGTATTATTTTGTAATATTGTTTAAAAAATTGGTTTTAATTTAAATTAAATATTTTAAATATTAAGTTATATATATATATATATATATATATATATATACATTTTTACGATTGCAAAACTTTTCTATATTACTATTGCTAATCAAGAGCATATACATTTTAGTTAATATGTTTAATATATTGTATCGTATGTTTTTGCATTATAGAGGCCGTACAGTATATGTATAGTCAAGCAACTGATGTCGATATTGTTAACTCTATAAAAATGGCTTGCACAAGCTACCTTAAGATGTCATAGAGAGAAATATGTATAAATATTTATATGCACATATATTCAGGATGTTTCAGAAATAGTTGGCCAAACTTTAAGAGAGATCGGAAGAGCACACGT